GAGACCATTGTGGGGTTTTTTCTCATTTCATTCATATTTTACATATTGAAGTGATGGTCAGGGATTAAAGGTCTATGCTATGAAGCCATGTTTGTAACATTCAGCTGGAGGCAAAATGTTAAGGATTTTATAATATACTATATTTTTAAGATACCAAATAGAAAATATGTGAGGTTGATAAGTATCCCAGATGCTAAAAGCATTCATTGCCTAAAATTCCATACTTTGTGAAAAGCAACATCAGAATTTGATGTTATGTATGCTTACATCAGAAGGATGAACTATTTCTTATAATTTATTATCAGAAAATGTACACAAAGCAAGTGCTTAGTTAATGGGTATTGAAACCTAACGTCCAATTAAAAGTGGGTGCTCAGGATACCACAGCTCCCTGTGTAACCTATGGCGCCATGCTTTGTTCTTCAGAACATGGGAGTCTATGCTTTCACCTAAGTCTGCTATTTTCAAAAGGTGTTATTAGGCCACTCAATTGAGTATGTAATCCTTTTGATATGTTAAAACCTTTTTGATGATGATAGGTAAATCTCATTAGTGTGATAATTAGATTGTCTACATAGACATAACACAGTAATTTGCTGAGCCTTATTGGGTGTTAACTGTGTGAACATTAATCACATAACACATGAGGGTCTTACTTGGATTAGTCTGTTGCATATATCTGTTATCTCTTTATTAAAAAGAAAAATCTTGGCATAATTAGCCAAAGAAATTGTTTTAGAATTTGCTTGAATTTTGTCTGAGTCAATATTTGATATTTAAATATAAGTATAAGCATTCTTGGAATCTAACTTAGCATATATCAAAGGAAAATTCCTTATAATTATTTCAAAAACTTTGAAAATCTTTGCCTTCAAGTACTTTACAGTCTAGGAAACAACTTATCGAGAGGTTTGGAAAATATTCTACTTTAAGAGAAAATATATTTAGGTGTCATTGATTAGAAGGATAGAATTGTATCTCCATGGACTGTATAAGTATATCCCTCTTGTTAGAATTTCCTGTCACCTGAAAGACTTCAAAGCTATTAGGAAAGATCAAGATAGTATGCAAGTGAAGGTGGAGGGTGAATAGGTCTTCAAGGGGGTGATCTTTCTCTCGCCTGATAAGCTGCCTCCATTCTGTTTGTTCCCTTTTTCTTTTTTCTGCCAATCACTGCAGATGAAAAGCTTTTTCCCTGGTGAGGAATAATCTATGTGGATTCTGGAACAAGAATTTTGTAAAGACAGTTCCAAAACTAACATACTATATGATTTTTTAGTGCTCTTTTTTTTGTTTTCTATCTTCAGGGGTTTTTTTTCTATCTTCTAGTATTTTCTCGCAAGCTTTTCATTATCCAAAATCAGACTTCAGTCAGTGCTTTAGTCTGATATCACAGTGTCTTTGTTTATTTTGGCAATGTCTGGGGCGACCACTGTTGGTGGATCTCAGTGATCTTGTCAGATGAACGCAGAGTTGAAGTCAAAAGGCTTAGCGTCCAGTCTTCTGAGTTTGAGTCATTAAAATGATGTTTAAAATGTTTGTCTGTGTAGGGAAACATAGGGCAGCATGTATAAACAGAATGATCACATTGTGTGTGTATGTATCATTCCATACTGAAAGGACTGTTATCCATACATGTGCCGTCTCATTTTTAATAAAGTCATTTCATGACTTTCTGCTTTATCTTAATATGCACAGAATTAAGATTCAAATTTCTTTCGTGGATATTCATGCTGAGCCAGGTTTTATTTCTGTCTGATATTCAGTCTGGGTTGAATGTTTGCTATTATACTGTGCTATAAATTAAATTTTTAAAAATTTCTTGATACGCTTAGAAAGCGAAGTATAGAATCAGAAATGCTCCATTAAGAAGACACATTTTATTAGATAGGGAGTTTATCGGTCTTGATACAGTTACCTGTGGCATTTAATGATAGATCATTGCCTTTAAATCTGTCACTTGGCTGATGGAGCAGAAGCTAAGTAGAGGCTCCAGGCGCCTAGATGATGTGTCAGTTTTGTACAAGTGGTGGCCAGTGGCCTCTACCACAAGAAAGAGCTTCATTAGCAATTGTGTGCTGGTCCCAAGAAAGACTTAGAATCTAAACTTCAGTATTTAGCCTTCACAAAATTTGCTAATTGAAAGGAAAGATTCCACCAATTTCCATATGAACAAAGGTGACTACAATAGTAAATAGCGATTACAATAGATTTCATTTTCTAGTTTTCCAAGTTGGGGCTCTAAAAATGAGCAACTTTCCACTTCACATCAATCATTTAAAATCCATGTCTTTGTTATACATTCAATTCAATGCCTCTAGCTTCCTAAAACCTCAGAACCTTGCCACATGTGGCGTTTACTTTGTGCAGTTTACTTGTGAGTGTGTAAACTGTAGTAGAAGTAAAGCTGATTGGACTGTTCTCCCTGTAGGGTGCCGTCTTACAGTTTGTTGGTGCCGTTTTCCTGTTTCCCCGGAAGTGGTTAACTCTGCCTACTGCCAGGGGGCTTGGTGACCTTGGTGACCATGGGCTCCGTCCCTGTGACCCGCATGTGGCTGTGTCAGGTCCATTCATAGCACTTTGGCCTGCAAACTTCCTGGAGGGGAAGAGCTCAGTGAGCTTCCCCAGGCAGGATTGGTGCTGGTAGATTTGCAGGCTGGGGCTGCTCCCCTCCTGTGTGGGTGAGAAGGGAGAACCCCCAGGCTCCTCCCCAAGACTCAGAGGCCTCTGCCATTCAAAAGTTTCTCTGGCTTAAAGAAAATAGTATTTTGTTTAAATTTCCAAAACCTAAAATTTTCATTTGCCCCTTACATTTGAAACTTTAATTGTAATAGAAATGAGGGAAGATTTACATTTCAAATTTCATCAAGAATGCACTTTCATGCTTATTTCCCATCCTTTCTTTCCATGCTAAAATTTTCTTACAGAGAAATGGCTTCCATTTGCATTTTAACTCCTTCTTCTCCTTGTCTTCCTTTTTTGGCTTTCTTTTCATCCTTCATTGCTCCCTTATTACTTTTTTTTTTCCAGACTGTGGGTTGAACTCAGGACCTTCTCCTTGAGCTACACCCTCAGACTTGTCTTTTCTTTTTTCATTTTGTTTTGTTTTGAGACAGGGTCTTGCTAAGTTGTTCAGGCAGTACTCCAACTTGCAGTCCTCCTGCCTCAGCCTACCTCAGTGGTGGAATTACAAGCATGAACCATTTTTCCTGGCTCATTTTCATTGCCTTTGACTACATTTCAATACAAATTTGAATATGCAAATGTATTATAATATAGTATTACTGAATGTTTACATGTGTCTTTCGGCTTTGATCCGTTTAGATTTTGGGGGTGGGGGGGTGGAGACCCTACTTATGCTTCCTCTCTGTTGACACAATTTCTCACATTTGTTATCCCTTTATACCTCATTTCTGTCTAACGACAGCCAAGACTGTTACCATGTCAGCATACTGTGGAGAATTTTTCTTTTAGTTTAATTTAGGATTTCTTAATCCTTTTTGCCTACAGCTGTATTTTTGGAACAATACATAATAATGGAACATGATAAAAATTTTTCTCTTCAAATTCTTGTGCCTTGAATTTTTCTAGGTAACAAATATTATGAAAATTTTAAAAAAAAATTACAACCTTCAGCATAAATGGGTTCAGTTGAAATCTTCCATTAAGTAACATTTTCTAATTACTGGTAATGCTTATGTAGTAGCTTTGAACATGAATAGAGTACAGTGTTAAATTTCAAGGACACAAAGCATCACACTAATGTAAAGCTGGCCTGAGGAATGTTTGAATTAGCCGGTATGGACTGGATTTCCACAGGAAGAGCAGGAGAGAGGACAGCGATGATCACAAAGCGGAGAAACCAGTAGGCCGCTCCTGAGACTGATGTGCCCCTAAAACCCGATAACGCGCGTCTCTTTGCCTGAGAGTTTCCCGTGCATTTACGTTTATTGTTCCGGGCCACAGACAGCGGCACTGAGCTGTTTTCTCAAGGGGACAGAGCCACCGCAGAATCGTAAACACATTTCAGTGACCTGCCAATGAAGCATTCACTTTGCTCACATTGCTCACATCCAAGAAGGGAGGGAGCCTGCACCTTCCCCAAGGCTGCCCAGTGCAGAGGTGGCCAGGGCTGGTATTCAGACTCAGGCCACAAGCTTCCTGGCTCTGTCCTTCTTTGCTAAGAATTATTGGCTCTTGTAAAAGCTGATCACACGGGAACATAAAGCGTTTAGGTGACTGACCGAGATGTTTCACCAGCTGAACTCAATGGAACACGTCTGGCGTATGTCAGAGGGAAACGCGTCGGCTGGAATTCCCTGCCTGCTTGCATGTGCTAGGGAAGGAGAAATAAAGCCACTGCGAGATGAACTCTGGGAGTTTCCCCTCAGATGATCTCTGAGGAAAAGTGTGCTCTGCAAAGAGCAAAGTGTGTTGCTGTGGCTTTTGGTCAAAACTAAATATGCTACTGAGAGGTGCTGAGGGTAGTGCTCAGCACATGTTCGTTCCTCTCCAGATGCCATTTCCTTTCCACTTAAACAAATGCCACACAGGTATTTGCTAAACGGGACTCTACATACTCTTGATTAAAGCTTCAGTCGCTTGAAGAAAGAGCTCCTGGAGAATGTGATGGGAGACGGGAAGAGCAGAGGCAGTGAAGCCATTGATCTTAAGGAGAATGGTATTATTTCTTTCTTTCTTTTTTTTTTTTGGTACCGGAGATCGAACTCGGGTCCTTGCACTTGGCGCAGCTGGCGGCGAAACCACTGAGCTAAATCCCCGGCCCCCGGTATTATTTATTTCTAATGCATAAATACTCACGGATCAACTTCAGCAGGTTAGATTGCTAAGTAATTTGGAGTCCATGAATCATACATAAGCAATGTCTTCTGCTTCTTATGCCCTCGTAATTGATTAGAAAACCAAAGCAGTTTGTTTAACAGTTGCATGTTCATGTGGTCATTTGAATTCTAAGATTTATGGTTCTTTTTCTTTTGCAGCGCCTGGCTTTGAAAGCAGAGAAAGTGCAAGCAGCCCACCAGTGGCGGGAGGACTTTGCAGTAAGGACCCTTTCACCTCATTTGATTGATGTCCATTGACATTTGTGTGGATAATTATGTTCGCATTGAGATACTCTGTAGTGATGGAATCTTATGGTGTTATAGGGCCAAAAATCAACCTTACTTTGTTCTATTTTTGTTTAATTACTTCGGGTAATCTAGGCCAATTAAGGTAGGAGAAGCATTCTTGCTCATGTTCGATATGAAAAAAGAAAAACAAGTCCTTTAAAATATTCTCCCATACTTGGAGGTATTTATAAAATACATTAAAATAGAATTAACTTACCAGATATGAGTAATCTTTGTAGATGTCATGAATACACTGGTTGAAAAGCATGTTGGTACTTTGAGTTTGTGAGTAGTCTTGTGTATCTCATAATCACTTTGATGGGGCAGTATGACTAAGTGAGAAGGAATGTATTAAACATTTTAAAATTTAATTTTCTTGCCTTTGGCTAGAAGTATATTTCCTCTGTCCTGGGCTCCTTTTAGAAACGCCAGCTGGTGCACTTCAGCTGGTTTTGTGGTCAAAAGGCACTGGTTTCATTATACAAATAAACATAAAGTCTCCTTGTGATGAGCTTAGTCTGTCACCTGTCAACTCTCTTGTGACCTTAACAGTCAGCTAAAACACTTCCGTTACATATTTGAGTTATTGCATTTACAGTGGAATGTCTTTAATTTCTGATCACTGAAAAATTCCAGATATTTCTCTTTACGGATGTGGCTGTCCCCTAAATCTACTTCCTCATTAAAATAGTCATAAGATGTGATTGAGAGCATGACTACTTTCTAGTGTCTTGTAAAACAAACGTCAGGATTAAAGTTGTGCTTTAATAGAACACTAAATGGGGATTTAGGAATTAAGACTTTTACTTTCTTTGATTATGTTGTATATCAAAGGAAAACACACTGAATAGCATTTCATTCACTTATCGTAGTTATTTAAGCTTCCAGGCTTGAAGCTTCTGATATTGTTTTGTTTTCTCTTTTTTATTAATTTATAATGTTTTAAATAGTCCACTAAGTAGAGACTACCTGACTACCATAATTTTGTTTGATTCTCTGAGTAAGTTGATCATACTGCTTGAGTCGTTGGTATCATGTAGGTATGGGCTTTGTCCGCAACTGTTCATCATGGTTAGGTTGATAAAGATGAATCTGTCACTCACATAGAAGAAAGACTCAGTGATTGTGTAAGACACCAGCCTCAAGAACACTGAGGACTAACTATGAGCTCACGCACGCAGTGATGGGTGGGGTTGTGGAAGATACTTGGTGTGGTTGAAATGAAAATAAACTTGAAATTTCTCAAATGGACGAAAAGGAAAACATATTAATCCACATACTTGATTAATATTAGATAGAAATCACTCTTCCTGCTCCCTGGTGACAGACAGGAGGCAGCGCTGAGGGCAGTGTGAAGTGTCGCGTGTGGAAAGTTCGCTGCAGCCTGCCTTGCACGGGTGTAGTACAGTCAGTGCTCAATCACTGCGAGAAACTCAAGATCATTAAAAGTACACAAAACCAGCTAGGATTGTGCATTTTTTCAGAACCTCGCTTTCATTAAGTATTTCAAGTAGTTATTAGAAAAGAATAACTTGGAAAGTAGTGCCGTAGAGATGCTTTTTCCTTCACTGATATGTTTCCTTTAACTCTTATTTATTGCTTCCCTAACCTCCGGGTTCCTTCCCAGACATGCTGCAGACCCTTTCATGTGGTGCTTTTGACACGGAGTCAACATTTTGGCAGGGACTTCTTGTTCTCCTTACAGTAGGAATGGGTGCCCATTATTCATAACACAACACTTGACGTACGTTAGCTGTTATCATATTTTGTTGAATCCAAGCCATTATCAATTGTTAGACACTGAGTCATTTTATTTCCAAGAAAAAGAAGCCAGTTAAACTGTGGTACACCAGCAGTTTTCAGCTGTGTTCCTCTGTCTGATTTCCAAATGTGAAGGACTTTACTTTTGCATGGGACCCGACTATAGCTCTCTTAGTGCCCAAGTGGAAGCAGCAGAACTGCTAGCAACAGCTGTGCAAGACAAGTCGATACCACAGTGAACACATAGAAGCCATCAGTAGAAAACACATAGCCTACCCAGCAAGTGTCAATGTCCTCAGCACATAGCCATCACCATGAGGGAGAATTCTTGAACAAGCTCTGTTTTCAGTGTCCCTCCAGGTTGTTTCCCAGTTAACTCGGGACTTATGACCACACTGATGGATGGCAAAGGAAGGCATTAAAGGAAGAAAGTTGGCCATCATCAAGCCCTGGCAGCCCACATCTCCAGTGTGCCTGGAGGATCATGCATGGTTGCTCCCAGATGCAGACTCGCCTCCCTCTGAGAATTGGTACTTTCCGTAGCCAACCCTGCCAGCCATCTATGTCTATGCGGTCTTCTCCATGACCCTTCCCTTTAAATGCCATGGCCGGTAGAACATTGGATGGGAGCGATGTTATGCTTGGAGAGTAGAACCTGAAAAAAGTTTGTTTAATCACAAAACTCAAGGAAAATGTGTCAAATAAGCCATGCCCCCCCCCAAAGAAGATGGTGCTTTCATTTTTAGATATGACAAAGTAAATCCTTCAAGGCTAGATTGCAATTCGAATTGCTGGCTGGAAATTACAAAGCATCAACATCGATTCTGTCCTTGAATTGTGAGAGCACATAAAACATTTGAAAATTTTGTCAGTATTTTAACCAACATTAAAAATGTTTAATTTCTTGTTAAATGCTGTAATCTTCCAAAAGCTTCTCCATTTAAATTCTTACAATCCTTTTAAACCTTTAAGTTATTTAAGTGTTTTCACCCATGCAATACTCCTTTAATGCCATCCTTTAATAATTTAACACCAAGATGATTTAGAAGGCAGAAATAATTTCCTAAAAGGTACATTAACATTTCAAAAAGAAATATAATATTCTGCTTCTTCTCTCAAGTATAAGTGGGTGAGTTTCATTAACATTACTTAGGCAAATGTTGATTAACATTCCCTACTGTGTAATGCGGAGAAGTGGCAGAAAACAAGAAGAACAAAAGGCAGAGCAGCAATACGCTGGTGCAACAAAGGCTCCTGTAACTCATCCTCCCTCTCTGCCTTGAATTCCCAACTGAACGTACAGTCAAGGGAACAAAGGCCATACACGCTAACTGGATTAAGATTTATGTGGTCACACATTTACAAGTTCAAACCAGTATTTGTAAATAAGTGTTGTCTGCCAGCTGCCATCCAGGCGCCATGCAACTTACGGATGTTAAAGGCGACATTTCATGTACTGATGAGGGACAAATTATTTTGTTAAGGGCAGGTGGGAGAAAAAGAGGCAGGACAACTAACTGTTCCATGTGAAATTGTTGCTATTATTTCTACCAACCAGGTCTTTTCCAGTTGCATTTGGAATCTCATTTGATTGCGCTGCAATGCTTGGTTAACTAAGGCAATCTCGTTTCCAACTAAGCCTGCAGTATTAATTGTACTTACACATGTATAAACAGAGAAGGTGCCTAATTTGTATTTTAATAACTGGGACCATTATGCATGGCTTATTAGTGCCAGCGTGTTACTGTTCAGGCTGAGTAGAGATGTCCAGAATTGACCAGTAAATAAAACAGTTGAAGCGCTCTCCTTCACTTCAGCTTCTCGGAGAAGGTATATTAGAAGCTGGATTCTTTTTTTCCTATCAAAGTTAAATGTTATTGAGTGTCAGTCAGGCTAATTTATTTCTTCCATATAGCTTTAATTTTATACTTTAAAAAATCTCTTTGCCAAATCATATTTTGAAACATTGATTTAGAATTATAACATTTTAAAACCTGTGTAAATAGGAATAAACAGGCCCTGGACTTGTTCACCCATCCTTAGTCATTCATGAACCCACAACCTTCTCAGACGCAGCACAGATTTTGTGAAAATGTGGAATGGGAAAACATACTGTATTTATTTTCATTATAACAGATAAAAATGAACACTATTCTACAGTATAACTTCGTTCTGGATGTGAAAAAATTGGTTTTTATGGGCAAAAACCAGGGGAAAGGCACTTTATCTTAATGGATGTGTAAGTGAGTTTGATAGATCACCACAATGATTTTAGCCTCTTGCTTGATTTAGTTTTTCTAGTTTCTACCCTAGGTTGAACTCTTGCTTTTTTTAATGCCTTCCCAACATTTTTGCTATGTGGGGGATGGCCAATTTCTTACTGCTGCTTTTTTAAGAGTCCAGGGAATCTGTTTTGTACATTAAGAGAGATTCAAAGGAGGTACCAAACCAAACTGATTTACTCAGAATTTCTAGGGAACCAGTTAATGGAAAGGAGTCAGTAATTGATGGCGCCTGCATACATACATATAAATGCTCACAGCGCGAGTATTACAACACACCAGACCACAGAGTAATGACTGTGGACTTTGTTGTTGGTTATTCTGGATTATCACCTCTTGTTACTTATATTAAACAGAAGAAGCAAAAATATTTAACCATTAATTACTTAGCCCAAAGCTTGGCTTCACACTCGATGATTTTCACTGTCTTCTAATGATCTCTGTGGCCACACTTTCTATCTTAATGCCAAAGTAAGGATAATACGTGAGAGTGTAATAGAAGCCCATACAGTGAGATGCTGCAGTAGCATTTCCTCTAATGCTACAGATTTAGAGATGAGGAGGGAGTGGGGAGGCAGGAAGTAGGGAGGTGGGATGTGGGTTGCTGTGTTTTTCAAGATCAGCCTGGTACTCAGCATCTTGGGATTGAGATTCTGGAAATAGGGCTGAGTCACTGAGAGGCTGGCATTGCTGCCCGTGTGCTCAGCCTCCCGGCTCCCAGAGTGCTGGACATCATCCTCACTGGTTAGCAGAGCCTCATCACTTACTACCACCAGCTGGTGCCAGGTTACAGCTGTCAAAGGAGGGTTTTTAATGCAGATTTCATTAGCTTCTCCATCATGGGAGCTGCATCTCATTGAAAATTTTGGACACTCTTATGTACATTAA